TATATAAAATAGATAGCACAGAGGTGGACTAACGGAAAGAAAATCAGATTAAGCAAGTGTTTAGGGCATGAGCAAAATGGGAGCCTTCAGAATGAGAAGAATAATTAGGTAAAAGTATTTGTGTTTTCAAAAGAAAATTATTGAATTAATCATCTTGATTTCTAAAAGCTTATTTATCTCTTACACTGTAAAAATATGCTTTTTGACACTTTGTTGTTATCTTATTTTGAATTGCATATAGGAATGGCATCACAAACTTTGAAGGATATTCATCTTCCTATGGTTTCCTCCTTCCTCTCTGGCCTCCATTCAGGACCCCACCCAAACACATATACTAACCACTTCACTAAACTGGGCATGCTCAAATATTTTAATATACTTGTGCTGATATACTTGGGAGCTAGCTTTAGATTTATAGTGAATTTTCCCTTTGAAAGAATTCAGAACTATTCATTCCTATGTCTGTCGTGTTTATTTCTCACATGTGTCCTTTCAGCTTATGATTTTCGATATTTTCAGTGCATCTATCATCAAGCTCATAGACCCTGATGACTAATGGGCTTTCCTAGTCTGTTAAGTGGGGGGGAAAACATTAAAAAAATAGAAAATTAATCACAAATCCCTAGGTAGGAAATTTTTAAAATTTTTTTTTTTTAATATTTATTTATTTTTGGGACAGAGAGAGACAGAGCATGAACGGGGGAGGGGCAGAGAGAGAGGGAGACACAGAATGGGAAACAGGCTCCAGGCTCTGAGCCATCAGCCCAGAGCCCGACGCGGGGCTCGAACTCACGGACCGCGAGATCGTGACCTGGCTGAAGTCGGACGCTTAACCGACTGCGCCACCCAGGCGCCCCAGAAATTTTTAAAAATATAATGGGACTCGGGGCACCTGGGTGGCTCAGTCAGGTAAGGCTCAGGTCATGATCTCATGGTTCATGGGTGCAAGCCCCCCATTGGGCTCTGTGCTGATGCTGTGGAGCCTGCTTGGGATTCTCTCTCTCTCCCTCTCTCTCTGCCCTTCCTCTGCTCTCTCGCTCTCTCTCTCTCTTGAAATAAATACATAAACTTAAAAAAATAAAAAATATATAATGGGACTCACAGGTACTCCCCTTTTAGATATTCTGTCAACGCGGTCAAATTGATGTACAGCAAAGCACACCAGGTAGGTGCTCATAGGGACGGACTTCTTGAAAGTTGTTCTATTCCATTTATGGTCCAGTGACTCTTCTTTCTATTGAAAACAAAAGATAATCTTTTATTTATCAAAAGATCAGTCACAGACAAGACAAACAAATGATTCCTCCAAACCTGGAGTTTTAGTCAGAAGTCCTTTGTCAAAGCTTAGGGGTAAAACTTCCTCTTACCCATGAATGGTGATATTGAAAAAGACTAACGGAAATGGCACTTAATTTTTAGACCTGTGAAAGAGTGATTGAACTATACACTGTACGAGGTTTCTCAGGGAAAACACAACTTTGACTATATAGGAATTCGTTTGTCTTTCTACATTAAATATACAATCCCAACCATGATATTTGAGGGGATAGCAGATCTGTCAATGAAGAAAAGGCTAGTGCCCAATGCCTCACACAAAGGAAGAACTAAGCAAATGTTTGTTCAGGGAGGGCAATTGCTGTACCAGGCATAGCAGGATGTTGGGTTCTCTTTTCCATCTCTGATGCCTACATCAAAGACCCAAGGTATCATCACTAAAGTCACTGTCTTGATCATCACGGACAGAAGAATTTCATTACTGATGCCACTACTGACTCCCATCTGTCTGGTTTTCTGCCCATGCAGGCTTTGCCTTCCTCTTCCCCAATCACCAGGCCTAATATTCCATCCCCATATACTTGCCCAATTCGTGCTACCCACTGTTTAAATATTTCCATGTGCCTTGTAGTCACACAGTAAGTCACCGCAGTGGGAAGCTTTCAAAGGGGCTTAAGTGAGGAAGGTTGGACTAGAATCGATGCCTCATTGACAAGCAAGCATGGGTGTGCAAGTGCTTGTAGAGAAGTATCTGAACGCCAGCAAAGTTACTCTAGTAACCACTACTAGTGAGAACTCCTAATGACCCAATATCCTTCTTCTTCCAGGACTATTGTCTGGAACTAGTAAGAGGTGAAGAATATATTCTGCAAAATGAAAAGGTCCTCTGAGAGGGTCTTAAGCAGAAGTTGGTAAGGTTTGCATCCTTTCTCCTCCCACCTGCCCTTCCCATCCCGACCAAACATTGAAAGGATCTTTTACCCTGGCCCAGCCTTTTGGGTCAGTGTGCCAGACTCTTTTAGTTTATCCTTTTCTCTTTCTTCTCCAGTCAGAGCTCAACTGCTCAGGTGCCTGACACCAGAATAAAACAAATTGATCAACTAATTCACATTGCAAGGCATGGTAGCTGACAATTTACTTTTGAGCCCTCTTAAAGCTTTTGTTGGTTTTACTTTGTTCTTGCTTTTCTGAGGAATACTGGTCATTAAGAGGGATGAATTTCAATGATGACATTTCAGACAGTGGATCAGAACAATGGCAGATATAATTTAAGCAGGGTTTTTTTCTGGTATCAGTTAGAGGACAACTATATATAAGGATGAGACTGACCCTTTTACGTGTCAATATATGTGCATTTATTCTATGTATAAAGTACAATAATCCCCAACTTTAGTTAGCTGCATTACTCTTTCTGTGGTTGAGGGGCAGTAATGGAGGAAAAAGTCTTATGTCAGTAATTACACAGACAGAAGTTACTGGAGCCTACTTTTTTTTAACATTTCATGATCACTATTTGTTCACTAGAAAATCTTTGGGCATGAGTTTCCTTGGAGTTGGCTTCTTTACTCCAATATTTAAGTGATGGTTTTCTGCAGCAGGTCAATCTTAAACACTGGGCTTCTATTTATGTGAAAATCAAGAATAGGCACTGGGCCCAAGAATATTTTTAAGTCTCTAATTCCATGAGTTTGCCATTAGTCTGTCATGACTAGGGGGTTGTTTCAGTTAAGCAGAGCCCAGCCGATGAGGGTCAACTGTATTCACTCTTGCTTGGAACCCAACCATGGCTTTTTGACTAGACTAGGATATGTCAGGTTAAAGACTTCTAGGACTCCAAGAAAAGAGATTGTCAAAATGAATTTTCAAGCCTCTAATGAACTATGAGGGCACATTTAATTTTAGAATTCATTGGGTTCTCTCATAGTAGATAAGATAATTTACCTGCTATTTTAAACAGACGATCTGCAGAAACAAAAAATTTTTTAAAGGACTTACCTCCACTGGCATATTTGAAATTGCCCTATATTCTTTGAGGTGGGTGATGGATATCGTATAGGTTGCCTTTTTGTTGGGCTCATCAAAACAAGGGAAGGATTTCCTGGCATCTGTTGGTTCATGATCAGTGGCTGCTATGCTCCTTAGAAACAAACACACAAACAAAATACATGTCACCTCTTCTCACAGTCCCTGTGTTTCTATTCCTATAGAAAAAGTCAACTATGTAATTACAGCTGCATGAATTTATAACTACTATGTAATTATATTGCAGGTCTTAAAATGACCTTCTATCCAGAAAACTATCAAATAGTTGTCAAAGCCTTTCTTGGAATTTTTAGGTCAACAAATAAATGAAAATCTGGAAGTTTCCAGATTTAGATATTTTATATGAATAGTTTGATATTTTGGTGCCATAACTAAAAATCTGTGAACTGTAGATAAGCAGAAATAAATCCAATTATGAACTGTCACTTTTTCCACTCAAAAGCCATCAAGCAACAAGTAGATAAACAACAAAGCCAAACTCAAGGAGTTGTTTCTAACTGTCCTTCTGAGAGTGAACAGCTGTGTCCTGTCACAGAGCAGAGGAGTATCTTCCAGAGTCCCCAGCTCCTGTCCTTAATGGCACATTCTTTCTTATTTATGTTGCACCGGGGACAGACTCCAATTTCATTTCTATGCAAAGGCAGTGCTCTGAGTAATCTCCCAGGTGAAATAGCCTTTGACCAGGTGGAAAACCTGCTTTTGAAAAAAGAGCATTTTGAAAAGCAGGAAAACCCACTTTTGAAAAGAGCATTTTTTATGGCTCTAACTAGGCAAATGCCTTTGTAAATTAAAATGTTAATGTTTAAGATTTCCATCATTTCAAAGTGGAAATAACATTTTTTTCTGAGTAACTGCTCAAAAAATCAATGAATATATACTTTTTAAAGGTAGTTATATCACAGTAAAATATTGCACACTTGCTCATTAGAAGAGTAAGCAGAGTAAAAAGCATAAAAGAAAGGGGGAGTACAGAAATGTTGACATATTTGTTACTAATTTGGCTAAGAAAAATATTTTGTCCTTCAGGCATATCATAAAGAATATGAAGCTAAAGTATTAGATCATTCATTCATCCAATATTTATCAAACCCTTTCCTTCCACACTCCTTACCCACCCACCCCATCCCTCTCCCTGCCGTACACACACAAACACATTTGCCAGGCATTATTCTAGGTGCTGAGGGAACAACAAAGACTAAATAAGCACATAGGAGAGTGATAAGAGGTATACGGAAAATAAAACAGGGGAAGTGACAGAGAAAAACCTAGGAAAAGTTGTGGGCACTGTTAGGTAAAATAGTCAGGGACAATCTCTTGGAGTAGGTCATGGTTTACTGAGGTCTGAATGATGAGAAAAAGCCAGACAGGGGAAGCATAAGAAAATTGTATCCTAGCAGAGAGAACAGAAAAGTGCACAGTCTCTAGAGTGGAAAAGAACTTCATGTGGTTGAGGACCTGAATGGTGTCCAGTGTGGCTGAAAGGTGTCCGCTGAACTAGAGGGACTGGGGCCAAAGAAGTTTGGTCAGCAGAGGCCATGCTAAGAGTCTGCATTTCATTTTGGCTTAAGGATGTATTATATACATTAATTTATCCAAAAGATAATATGCCATAGGTCAACATCCACATAAAAGAAATATTTTTTAATTTCTTAAAAAAAAAAAAACCTCTCTAGATATAATAATTTCCTGTTAAAAACTCAGCCAAGGGGCGCCTGGGTGGCTCAGTCAGTTAGGCGGCTGACTTCGGCTCAGGTCATGATCTTGCGGTCCGTGAGTTCGAGCCCCGCGTCGGGCTCTGTGCTGACAGCTCAGAGCCTGGAGCCTGTTTCAGATTCTGTGTCTCCCTCTCTCTGACCCTCCCCCGTTCATGCTCTGTCTCTCTGTCTCAAAAA